GTTTTACTAAAATCAAAGATCCTTCTAACAGGGATTAATACAGAAAAAAGGGAGGAAACATGTAACACTTTGGGTTAGAAAGTGTATGGGAGTCACTTCTGTCCAGTATTTCTACTCCCACTTAAAATTCTGGATATTTATATTCTTTTCCTTTGGCTATATAAGCCTAATCTTGAACAAACATACAAGTGGTTGATATTTCGCTAAGCAGTTAAAGCTGTTTTTTTCTCACAAATGGAAATCTGTATCCATCTTCACAGCAAAGGATAACTGCTAATGGTCTAAAAGCCCCATGATCTGCAGATCTCAGTACTGCTTGCCTGAGAAATGCAAACACCATCTCAGTGAGGCAAAAAGAGGTCAAGGATTCATTTCCTTGCCTGGCCCCAGGGAATAGGACCACATATTCCAAAACAATGCTGCAGAAGAACAGCCTGGAAAAAATTCAGTAATTCAGGCAACTCAACCCAGTTCCAGGAGAAAAAGGAACTGAGTTATGCAGAGCTTTGTGCCACTCTCATGAAAGATTAGCCTTGTGTATGGACTGATAAATAAGAACTGAAACACTCCGTGCTTCCCACATACGCTCTATTGCTGAGCGCCACTTCCTGTGACCACAACAGAGGGGTCATCAGAAGCACAACCTCTCCCAATTTGTCCTGTGTGCAAGCACCGCTGGGCCACACACTTAAGGAAGCTCAGAGCACTCCACAAAGGGTCTACTGTGCCTGCTGCAGCCCTGCATTTCACTGCAGAAGAGACTTAAACAAACTTGGAGAAGCAGGGGAAACTGTCAGGAGCCTGCCCTGGGGGAAGGACTAGGAGACTGAGTCCCAAAGGCATTTGTTTATTCTGTTATCAGCTGAGTCACTCCCTATATGAGCAATGTTCCCACTGAGTCACACCCTGCCTCACACCAGGTATTTGATTCTTAAGGGAACAGGAACCCCGGAGGTAGCTACTACTTCCCCTTCATTTTAGACATGTAAAAACTGATGCACAAAGGCAGTTAGTAATTATTGCAATATCCTAGCTTTTAAGAAATTGAGTCATGCAGTAGCCAAGGCCCACTGCATCCCACAAGCATGCAGGTAATCATTACGCTGCACTATCTGTCCACTATTCCAAAAGAGCAGTAAATAAAACCTACTTCACATTCCTAGATCTTAGCATATGGATTACTTATTGCTGATGAGTTATTCAATTACAGTTAAGGTTTCATCCCAACAAGAAAGCTCAATTCTCTTCCTGTATCAAAACAATCTCAAATATACCTACCATTAAGGGGCCATTCCAGTGGTTCTCAAGAAAATTTAGATATGTCTGGCGACATGGCTGGGTGCAGAAATCATGGGGTTCTACTGGCATCTAGTGGATACAGGCCAGGGATGCAGCTAAACCACCAACAATGCACAAGACAGCCCATCCACATGAAACTGAAACCCAAAACACAGTCAACAGTGAGTGCCAAGTTGAGAAACCCTGGACTATTCCAAATATTACAGGTGAAAGCTTGCAAGTCCATCCTGACTACCCAGATACAGTCCCTAGGGTAAAGGCTAATAGTGGGTGGCCATTTTCCTGGCCCCCAAAGTTTGGCATTGGGCAAGACTGCATGACCACGTATCCATCGGAAGTCACGAGGTGCCTATGCCACACCTCACCCTCCACTGGCAGCTCCCATGATCCACTTGCATAATCACAAAGTGAAGACAGGCTGGAGTTCTTAGACACGCCCAATATGCCAGACTCCAACTCTGCCACAAGCTCTGCTAAAAGTGTTTTGAGGGAAGTGGTTAGAAAACAAAGACTATGTTTGGACATTATCAGTTTATAATCCATCCTAATCCAGCCCCTATTCTATGCATAATCGAGAGTTGGATCTGTTTGTAGCAGAAATTCAGATTTCTTTTATCTTCATGGGTTGTAAAGTTTGTGAATAGGAAGATCAAGAGGGAATCAACAGAGGGCTGAGTTTATGCTTTGGTAGAAGAGGAAGTTCTTGGGTATCTGCAATTCGGCCTAAGAACATTCAGATTATTTCTAAACGTAAAAACTTTAGCACAGCTCCTCATTGAAAGTATGTGACCACAGCATTCAGCCAATTTTAAGTTATATTAACACATGTTGGTCAATGGATTCTAACTGAAGGTAAAGTCAATGGGTCATAGCAGCAGGAGTTAGGATCAAGTGACCTGATCAAGAGCTCACATCTAATGTCAGAGAAAACTGGCTGAAGGTAACATAGCAGCGAGCAGAACAGCAAACAATGCCATGAGCCCCAGGGGATCCACCTGTGGCATCCAAACCAGATGCAGCAAATCTGGGTTTTTCCATGCAGAAGAGTTTCCACCATTTATAGGTTAATGTCACTTGTTATAATCACCATTCATGATAGTCCGACTCTATAGCTCTCTTTATGTCAGTGGAGATAGAAAGCTGGGTCAAAATTAAAATCAGAAACTCATTTTAAACACTTTTAGAAAATGGCAAATAAAAAGAACATGGCATAGTTCTCTATGCTGCAGTTTCTGGAAAATAACTGAAGAAACTGAAGGCATCCACATCGTGCAGAACCTTAAACTCAGATCAAAAACAATAATATATATTCTCAAGCGTACACACATGCACATTCCTTTCCTGAAAAAATAGAAAATACTGGCTGACTCCTCAAGATGGGACTCCAGGAGAATGTTGAAGGGCCTGTGTACAGAATCACATTCAAATAAAACATGCTGCCTCCACATTCTTTCAGGAGCAAGGGAGCCCTGGCTTGGAGTCAAGCAGACATTAGTCTGAATACTGTCTGGCTATGAGCTAGCTGCCCTTTGATGAGTTATGTAACCATTTTAAGCATCAGTTTCCTCATCTGTAAAATGGTGGTAAAGGTTACTCATTGGCAAGGCTTCATCATGTTACCCAAGATCTTAGGCCATCCACGTTCCCCCACCGTGACAGCATCTCATGGCAGTCTTGATGCCTGTTCCTATAGCTCTCTCACCCCAAAACAACTTCCCTCTTCTTAACCTAGCTAAAACCAACTCATTTGCCAATATTCATTACCACATGCTCCAGGAAGGCTGCCCTGATGTCACCATTCCTGAAGCTAGATATGTGCTCACTCTGTTCCTGTGCTTCCTCCTTCAATGATGGTCCAGTGTCACACCTTGAAGTGTCCCTCTGTTCAGCCTCCCCCTAGACTGGAATCTTCCTGAGAGTTCCCTAATATGTTTCCACAGGGCATGGCAAGCAAGTTCTGATGGCTTTAGTAAGAAAATGAACAAAAGCCTTGGCAAAGGAAGAAATATCAGGGATAAAGAGGAGCCAAAGGTTACAATGTACTTTAGAAACAGAAGATTTCAACAAGGGGAAATCAATGATATCAAATGTTGCAAAGAGGTCAGGAAACAGGATAACTGAGAAAAAGACAACAGACTTAGAAATTAGGTCCCTGACAGCTTCTGAGAAGTGTGGTGAGTGTCAAACATTTAATGCTCTGGGTGATGAAACAAGATAAGGAGGTGGGAGGGTTTCTTCTTCTGAGGGAAGAAGAAAGTGAGATTCTCCTTGATTGAGCCCAGAGAGGGCACAGACAAGAGTGCCCGGGAATGCAGAACAGGGATGAGACAGCCACTGGCAGGATCTGACAGAAAGCTGCAATGGTTTCAGTGTCCCTTTCAAAATTCATTTGAAATTGATTTGCCATTGTGATGGCATTAAGAGGCGAGACCTTTAAGGGATGATTCAATCATGAAGGCAAAGGCCTCGTGAACAAAGTAATGATACTATCACAGAAGCTGGCCCTCTTTTTCCCTCAGTCTTGCATGCTCACTTGCCCTTCCACCATGACGCAGCAGGAAGGACTCACCAGATGCATCCCCTCCATCCTGGGCTTCACAGAATCCAGAACCGTGAGCCAAATTCATTTTATTTCTTTATAAATGACTCGATCTGTAGTATTCTGTTACAGCAGCAGACAGCAGACTAACACAGGAGCTAAGTAGAAGAAGGATTTCTGAGAAATAAGGGAAATGTAGCCAACTACAGAGAAAGAACAGTAACTTCTGTGAAATTGATTGGCATCGTGGACAGGTCTATGACTCAGAAGCACAGGACATTGTTTACCCAGCCTAAGAAGTCACAGTGCTGGGGGAGAAAGCCAGGGCCAATAGGCAGGGTGAAAGAAGTTCTAAAATATCCAGCTCTCCGTGGGATAAGGCTGGGAGCCTCATGACAGACAGAATTAAGTAGCTCGAGTAAATAATATGAAATATTTTAAATATATAAAATGCTGTCAGTTATTTTAACAACTTAAGATGTAATAACATGACTATAAATATACAACACATAAATACTATGAAAACCATGCAGGGGATCACACAGGCATCAAAAAAAAGTGTTAAACATTAGGGCAAGAGAGACTAAAGTGGCAAGAAAATGGCTTTAGTAAGTTTAGAAATGTATACAATGATTACATACATCTATACTATTTTCTATTAACAAAGAATCAGCTAGAAAACAAGTATTTATTTCATAGAAAAAGGTCCAGAGCACGACGTATTAAAGCTTTTGATGCCTGGACTGAGAGGAAGGAAAAAAATATAAAAGTTGCGCCTTTATAGGAACTGAACAAAGAACAGGAAGAAAAATGCACATCAAAAGTGGGTACTGATAAAAGGATTATTTGAAGGCAATCCATTCTTCATAGATACTTTTATTTCTAATTATGAAATAATTTAAATATATAAAAACGAAAGTGCAGACACTAATGTTGGTAACACCAATGTGCTAGTCACCAGGGTTAACAGTAATATTAGGCATATTTGACTCAGAATTTAAGAAATAAAATATCACAGATACAGCAAAATCCAACCACCCTACCACTTATAAGCTCCCACTTGCAAGTTAAAACGTGGCATTTGGTTGGTTGTAAGGAGGATGGACTTGCTCCTACTTCCCTCCCTGGAAGTAAGCAATATTCTTTTCTTTCTTTCTTTTAGGTTCAGCAGTTACATGTGCAAATTTGTTACTTGGGTATATTGTGTGACACTATCCTTTTTGGGCTTCTATTGAACCTATCACCCAAATAGTGAACACAGAACCCAAGAGTAAGTTTTTCTACCATTTTCCCCCTTCCTACCTTCCTGCTTTTGGAGTCTCCAGCATCTATGGTTCCCACCTTTGTGTCCATGTGTATCCAATGTTTAGCTCCCACTTATAAGTGAAAATATGTGGTATTGTTTTTTGCTTCTGTGTAAATTCACTTAGGATAATTGGCTTAGGCCTCTAGCTACATCCAAGTTGCTGCAAAGGACATGATTTATTTTGTATGGCTGCATAGTATTCCATGGTGTATATGTACTATATTTTCTTTATCCAATCCACCATTGATGGGGCACCTAGGTTGATTCTATGGCTTTGCTATTGTGAATAGTGCTACAATAAACATGTGAGTGAAGGTGTCTCTTTTTGGTAAAACAATTTGTTTTCCTTTGGGTATATAACCAGTAATGGAACACTGGGTGATATGGTAATTTTATGTTTAGTTCTTTAAGAAATCACTATACTGCTTTCAATAGGGACTGAACTAATTTACAATCCCACGTATATAAGTGTTCTTTTTCTGCAATCTCGCTGACTTTTTTTTTTGGACTTTTTAATAAAAGCATCAATGTTGTGAGATTACAGTATATCATTTACAACCAGCACATGTTCCCTACTGCCCTAGGCCATTGAGATTATTACTCAATGCGTAACTTAATCTTCTTTGTTCCGAAGAAAAATTCATGATCTTTTAGAAACATTCTAAGTAAATATAAGATGATCACAATCACCACCTCTCAAATAGGTATAAAATACTGATTTACATTTCCAAGAGACCATAAGGATGGGAAGATTATGATGAAATGTAATGAATAAACTTGGTGAAAGATCCTAGATATCAGGGCTACCTAGAATATAATTTTTGTCTGAAGTCCCAACTACAACAAAAATATTTCACTCTCATCACCATTTAGCTAACTCACAGAGTGGTACGTGGACCAGCAGCATATTATGCTATATTAGCTATTTTCACACTGCTGATAAAGACATACTTGAGACTGGGAAATTTACAAAAGAAAGAGGTTGACTGGACTTACAGTTCCACATGGCTGAGGAGGCCTCACAATCATGGTAGAAGGTGAAAGGCACATCTCACATGGTAGCAGACAAGGAAAGAGGGCTTGTTCAGGACAACTTCCATTTTTAAAACCATCATATCTCATGAGACCCATTCACTATCACAAGAACAGCACAGAAAGGCCTACTCCCATAATTCAATCATCTCCCACCAGGTCCCTCCTACAACACATGGCAGTTATGGGAGACACAAGATGAAAGTTGAATGGGGACACAGAGCCAAACCATATCTTCCATCCCTGGCCCCTCCCATATCTCACATCTTCACATTTAAAAATGGATCATGCCTTCCCAACAGTCCCCCTAATGTCTCAATTCATTTCAGCATTAACTCAAAAGTCCACAGTCCAAAGTATCATTTGAGACAAGGCAAGTCCCTTCTGGCTATGAGCCTGCAAAATCAAAAGCAAGTTAGTTACTTCCTAGATACAATGGGGGTATAGGCATTGGGTAAATACAGCCATTCTAAATGGGAGGAACTGGCCAAAACAACAAGGCTACAAGCCCCATCTAAGTCCAAAATCCAGCAGGGCAGTCAAATCTTAAAGTTCCAAAATGATCTCCTTTGACACCATGTCTCACACCCAGGTCGCATAATGCAAAAGGTGGGTTCCCATGGTTTTGGGCAGCTCCACCCCTGCGGCTTTACAGGGTACAGCCACCCTCCTGGCTGTTTCATGGGCTGGCATTGAGTGTATGCAGGTTTTCCAGGCCAATGGTGCAAGTTGTCAGCGGGTCTACCATTCTGGAGTCTGGAAGATGGTGGCTCTCCTCTCACAGCTCCACTAGACGGTGCCCCAGTAGGAACTCTGTGTGGGGGCTCCAACCCCACATTTACTTTTCATACTGCCATAGCAGAGGTTCTCCATAAGAGCCCCACCCTGGCAGCAAACCTCTGCCCAGACATCCAGGCATTTCCACAAATCTTCTGAAATCTAGGTGGAGGTTCTCAAACCCAAATTCTTGACTTCTGTGCAATCACAGGCTCAAAACCACATGGAGGCTGCCAAGGCTTGAGGCCTGCACCCTCTGAAGCCATGGCCCAAGCCCTATGTTGGCCCCTTTCAGCCACACTAGAGCAGCATACCAAGGGACACAGCACACCAAGTCCCTAGGCTGCACACAGCACAGACACGCAAGGTGGGGCCCACGAAGTCACCTTTTCCTTCTAGGCCTCTGGGCCTGTGAAGAATGGGCTGCGATGAAGACCTCTGACATGCCCTGGATACATTTTCCCATTGTCTTGGGGATCAACTTTCAGCTCATCGTTGCATACCCATCTTGAATTTCTCATCAGAAAATGGGATTTTCTTTTCTATCGCATTGTCAGGCTTAAAGTTTTCTGAACATTTATGTTCTGCTTCCCTTATAAAACTGAATGCCTTTAACAGTACCCAAGTCACCTCTTGAATGCTTTGCTGCTTAGAAATTTCTTCCACTAGATACCCTAAATCATCTCCCTCAAGTTTAAAGTTCCACAATCTCCAGGGTAAGGGCAAAATGCCACCAGTCACTTTGCTAAGACATAGTAAGAGTGACTTTGCTCCAGTTCCCAAGAAGTTCCTCATTTCCATCTGAGACCACCTCAGCCTGAACTTTATGGTCCATATCACTATCAGCATTTTGGGCAAAGCCATTCAACAAGTCTCTAGGAAGTTCCAAACTTTCCCACATTTTCCTGTCTTCTTCTAAGCCCTTCAAACTGTTCCAGTCTCTGCCTGTTACCCAGTTCCAAAGTCGCTTCCATATTTTCAGGTATCTTTTCAGCAACATCCCACTCTACTGGTACCAATTTATTGTATTAGTCCATTTTCATGCTGCGGATAAAGACATACCTGAAACAGGACAATTTACAAATGAAAGAGGTTTACAAGACTTACAATTTCATGTGGCAGGAGGCCTCACAATCATGGTGGAAGGTGAAAGGCACATCTCACATGGCAGCAGACAAGAGAAGAGAGCTTGTACAGGGCAACTCCCGTTTTTAAAACCATCAGATCTCATGAGACCCATTCACTATCATGAGAACAGCACAGATATACCCACCCCCATAATTCAGTCATCTCCCACTGGGTCCCTCCCACAACACATGGGAATTATGGGAGCTACAAAATCAGATTTGGGTGAGGACACAGAGCCAAACCATATCACATGCTAAACTCCAGACATAAGGAATCTCAGTCCTCATTTTAGCAAGATCCCAGGAAATGTGTAGGCACATTAATGTTTGAGGAGCACTGATTTAAAGAATTCAGAAATATGAAAACCTAGACCAAGGCAGAACCAAATCCAATCACGATTTTGCTTAAACCTATCCTCTTCCTATCAGACCACACGGCTTTCAGGTGTTATCTTTGCAAAGTCCATACGTTAGTCTCATTAGACTGGTGGTAATCAAATGAGGGCAACTTTGTCCCTCAGAGGACATTTAGCGAAGTCTAGAAACATTTTTCATTACCTTACCTTAGGCAGGGGGTTTCTAGTATCTAGCAGGCAGAAGTGAGAAATGCTGCTAAACATCTTAAAATGCAGAGGACAGCTACCCAAAACAAATAATTAGCTGGCCCAAAATGTCAATAAGACAAAGGTTTTTAAAAAACAAAACAATGAAAAAACCCACCTGCAATTAGACCTATGATTTCTTGGCCAAGATGATGGATTGTTACATTCAGTCATTTGATAAACTGATTTGAGCATCCATATCCAAGGGAGGGGTGGAATATGAACCAATAACCAAAACCACTTCATGCCCAAGCTCTCAAAGAGTTTAAGTTCCCACAAGAGGCTGCAACCAAATCAATAATTAACAATACTGACAACAAATAGCAAGTACAATGAAACAACAAATACACAGGTTGAATTATTTCACAATTATACAAGGAATTTAAGAAGTAGAGACATATTTCCCCAATAGAAAGTCTGGGGCTCACTTAATTCTTGTTTTTTTCTTTCCTGTAATGCAGGATCTTCAAAGAAAAATCACTTTGGCCACTTCTGGGAAAGCACTCACTGGGCAAAATTACTTCATTGAAAAGAGACTTCATATTATGCAAAAAAATTTAAAAAGGTAATTTTTTAAATCTCTTAAGTACTATCAAGAGCTTTGTTGATTTCATCAAAGTGCTATGAAGGAATAACTCTTTTCTTCAGAGAAGAACTTACAGCTCACAATTAGGATGGTAGAAGGTGGTCTAATAAAAAAGGAAAACAGGTCATAGTATACAATTACACAGATGATTAATGAACTCAGAGCTGACTAAGCATGCTTTCATTAAGATTAATGTATTTCTGGAGTGAGTATTGCTTTGCATAGCCTTGTATCAATTAAATTCTGTCCAAAGAGAGAACCCTGAGGTTATAAGTAATACATGACAACTTGAAAACACCTCATGCAGCACAATCTTAAGGTATTACACTGTGCTAAGGGACAAGTGCACTCACTATCCAAATCAGATTGAATCTTTGGCACTGACATTCTTTCTATCTGTGCAAATAAAAATTGGTAGAAGGAAAGCAATCTACAAAATGATTCTACTACACTTTAATAACTGTCGTTTGGCCTCATAAATCTCATTCTGCCATGTTCTTCAATTATGTTACCAAAGATGATAGTATGTTACGAAAATGTTAGTAGCAATATATGCTAAAACATTTCAAACCACTTCATTCTCATGTATCTAGATTTGTGAAACAAGGCAGAGTTTCACCTAAGAAAATTTTAAGACTTACACTGTTACAGTAACCCTTTTAAAAAGTCTAGCTATATATACAAATCTTTCTTAAATGTGATCTCTAGAATTTTGGAGCATTGTTTACATTTCTAAAGCTTCAAGGTTAACATAATGACAACTCTCTATATAGAAATTCAGTGATAGGGCCAGGCGCAGTGGCTCAAGCCTGTAATCCCAGCACTTTGGGAAGCCGAGGCAGGTGGATCACGAGGTCAAGAGATCGAGACCATCCTGGTCAACATGGTGAAACCCCGTCTCTACTAAAAATACAAAAAATTAGCTGGGCATGGTGGTGCGTGCCTGCAATCCCAGCTATTCAGGAGGCTGAGGCAGGAGAATTGCCTGAACCCAGGAGGCGGAGGTTGCGGTGAGCCGAGATCACGCCATTGCACTCCAGCCTAGGTAACAAGAGCGAAACTCCGTCTCAAAAAAAAAAAAAAAAAAGAAGAAATTCAGTGATAACATCAGAAGTAACTATCAGCGAGCAGGGCTCCACAGACAGACACCTACACAAACTGGCTCACCAGAATGCCTGCTTACCCAGTAATCCAGTTAATCATCATCCAGAAGTCTTGTTCATCTCATATTTTTGCTGTTGCCTACCTCTCATTTTTAGTGGACTGGCATGAGTTGATAAGAAACAGTGAATCAACTGAGAGAGAAGTGGGCAGGGATGGAAAGGGTACTGAGCACACCAAGAGCTTCTTTTCTGATTCTTTTGATTCTTATTTATTTTTACATTTTTTTTTGAGATGGAGTTTCGCTCTTCTTAGGCCACATGCAGCAATACTGCACCTCAAAAATAATAAAGACACAAGACTCTGAGAAAATAATTTTATAAGGGGTCCTATAAGAAAAGGAATTATGTCTCTCATTAAATCATTTCTTGGATTCTTCGTTATTTCTGTAAATAGTGGTTTCTATATTTCTAAAAGGAAAGGAATTTGGCTCTCATGAAATTATTTCTGGTAAATTATTCACTATTTGACTATATAATTGTATATTACATAGTTAATATTTCTATTTCTCAAAATAACATCTACAGTTTATTTTATATTTTAAACTAAAGTGAATCCCACAAGTACCCAGCGTCTACCAATGACAAGGCACTGGGGGGTTGTGTGCCTAGGACTGGGAAACCAAATTAGACTTGGGAATACAGCAGCATGCATTCTCTCAAGCCCTGAAAGACTGGCATTTAAACCAAAATGCATCTAACTGTCAGGAGGCAGTTACCAGAGAAATTAGTTACCGGACACAAACTCTTAGTCACAGTGTAGACAGTTAAAAATAAAAAATGTGCTCCCTCTCCCTTATTTAAAATATGAAACAGGCTGATAAGCAGAAAAGCCATAGAAGACCTACAAAGAAGCAAATGAGTACAAACCCACTATGCCCAGAGCCAAGCACACAAGACTAGAGGGAAGAGGAGGAATAGTGCCAGTGAAAGGTTTTGCGGAGGAAGTGATCTGGGGTACTCATTCCTTCTATAGCAAGTCCATAGAACTGACAAAATCAAGTGGTTATCGGTATTGCTAGTTTTGCCATAAAGCAAAAGAGAAGCATATGGGAAAGGAAAATATGCAGAAAGAAGATATTCTTGTGTAGGAAGTAGCACACAAGTTTACATGGATGTAATAATTTTGTGTGGAACATTACTGTATTTCATATTCCATGTTTCCAAACATCCTTTTGCCACGCTTACATTTATTGACCTAGTTTGTCATTCACTGTGATAAGCACTGTGGTGGCACCACAAATACAGACGAAAAAGATGCATTCTCTGACATCAAGGTACCCACTGTCTCCACAATCTTTCTTTCCCATGATCCCTAAATAAATCTTAAGAGCAAATTATTTCCCATGATCCCTAAATAAATCTTAAGAGCGAGGATTCATGCCTTATATTGCCAGAGTACACACTCATTTATTTCACAAATATTTTAACAATCTAATGTCCTAAACATTATGCAAAGAATACAATGGTTTAAAAAAATGACATGTTCTTTCTCCTCTGAAGAAGCTTGTAGTAGAGGAAGAGACAAACAGCTGGAGAGAGGAGTGTTGTGATAGGAGGAAGACAAAGGATGATAAGCACACCCCCAACCCACCCCAAACTAGTCTCGGAAAGGTGAGGTTTCCTCAGGAAGGTGACAGCTAAGCTGAGGCCTTAAGGATGAAGAGAAGTTAGCCAGCCAAGAATGTATGGAAACAGTTTTCCACAGAAATCAGTCTGTGCAAAGATCCAAGCAGAGAGAAATCATAGAACCTAAAAGGAGGCAGAAGGGCCCAGGAAGGAAGAAACTCAGTGCTGGGGGTGGAGGAAGCAGGAGGCAGACCAAGAAGGGACTTCAACATTACAGACTTAAGGTGTTCTGCTGAGGGCAAGGACAGACTCCTAAAGGGTTTTAGGCAGGATATCAGCATTACTCATATATAAGATAGGCAGTAAACATTTGTTCCAATGTATCAAAAAAAACCTTTTGAATTTAATTCTAGTCTTCCCTCTGCCCTAAATCAACATTTCTGATATCAGTGAACAATGAACAGGATTTATAAACAACAGAAGCTCTGGATAACACCTAGCACAGCACTGTCCAATAAAAACATAATGTGAACCATATATGTAATTTAAAATTTTCTAGTAGCCAGAGTCTAAAAAAGTAAAATTAGGTGAAATTTAAGATTAATAATATATTTAATACAGCTTTTCTAAAATACTACTTCAACATGTGGTCAATATTAAAATTGAGATATTTTTCATTATTTTCATGCCAAGTCTGCAAAGTCTAGTGTACATTCTATACTTACAGAACATCTCAATCTGGACTGGCCATATTTCAAGTGCTCAATACTCAAACATGGCTAGTGGCTACCACACTGAACAGTACAGATGTAGAATGTACTTTGGGAAGTATGTTTCAGATGTTTAAAGTACTTTTTATCATTTGTTTTCTAATTTATAAAAATAATGGAAATCAGTTTTTCAATGGGAACAAAACCAGAAAAGCTCAATATTTAAAAGGTGCCCATAATCCCATACCAAAAATACCAGTTAACATTTGAATGTGTATGCTTGTTAGAATGTGTATGCACTGTCTTATGTCCAATGTATATGTATTCTTTTTTAAAAGTAAAATCTGTCTGAATTGCATTTAATATGTAAATATTTAGGATGATTTTTATGATTCTATAAAAATTTCTTTTAGAAAAAAATCATATTTCAAACATAGGTTTAAAAAAGTACATTATACATGGAATTCTGAATAAAATAAGACATTAATACTGCTTTTACAGTTACTGCCTTTTAAGATTATACCTAAATGAGTGTTTCCTAGAACTCTGGAGTTTTAGAGGGAACCATTATTATTTTAGGGACATGCTGGTCTCCACATTACCTAGAAGTTCTCACACTGCCCTGCTGCTCCAGTTGCTCTTTACTGCCACCTGTCTGCTCCATTCCCCAAAAAAAAGGAAGAAAGAAGAAAAGGAAGGAAGAGGCAGGGAAAAGGGAGAGGGGAGCAGGGAGAAACAAAAAAGGAGGAAGGGGGAAGAGGGTAAACGGGGAAAGAGAGAGGGAAGGGAGAAAAGGAAGATCAAAAGAAAGGGAAAACCAGAGGTGGGGGGAGGGAGGAGTGTCTAACTTACACAGAGTAAAAAGTTGGCTTCAAAAATTTGGTAGATTTGACTATATTCATTGTTCTCTGCCTTTTTATTCAGCAGGTATCTTGGAGGCCATAAGTGCCCTGTGAGTGACCAGTTCACTTATCTTTTCAGGCCTCTGCCTTCAGAAGTTACAAGATGATCAATTCGACCTCCACACAACCTCCAAATGAATCCTGCTCTCAGAACATCCTGATCACTCAGCAGATCATTCCTGTGCTGTACTGTGTGGTCTTCATTGCAGGAATCCTACTCAATGGAGTGTCAGGATGGATATTCTTTTACGTGCCCAGCTCTAAGAGTTTCATTGTCTATCTCAAGAACATCGTTATTGCTGACTTTGTGATGAGCCTGACTTTTCCTTTCAAGATCCTTGGCGACTCGGGCCTTGGCCCCTGGCAGCTGAACGTGTTTGTGTGCAGGGTCTCTGCCGTGCTCTTCTACGTCAACATGTATGTCAGCATTGTGTTCTTTGGGCTCATCAGCTTTGACAGATATTATAAAATTGTAAAGCCTCTTTGGACTCCTTTCATTCAGTCAGTGAGTTACAGCAAACTCCTGTCAGTGATAGTATGGATGCTCATGCTCCTCCTTGCTGTTCCAAATATTATTCTGACCAATCAGAGTGTTAGGGAGGTTACACGTATAAAATGTATAGAACTGAAAAATGAACTGGGACGGAAGTGGCACAAAGCATCAAACTACATCTTCGTGGGGATTTTCTGGATTGTGTTTCTTTTGTTAATCGTTTTCTATACTGCTATCACGAGGAAAATCTTTAAGTCCCACCTTAAGTCAAGACGGAATTCCACTTCGGTCAAAAAGAAATCCAGCCGCAACATATTCAGCATCGTGTTCGTGTTTTTTGTCTGTTTTGTACCTTACCACATTGCCAGAATCCCCTACACAAAGAGTCAGACTGAAGATCATTACAGCTGCCAGTCAAAAGAAATCTTGCTGTATATGAAAGAATTCACTCTGCTACTCTCTGCTGCAAATGTATGCCTGGACCCTATTATTTATTTCTTTCTATGCCAGCCATTTAGGGAAATCTTATGTAAGAAATTGCACATCCCATTAAAATCTAACAATGAACAAGACACTTCCAAAACCAAAAGAGGAAATACAATGCTTGAAAGCACAGAGACTTTGTGAGTTCCTAACCTCCTCCAAATAAAGACCATGTGTGCATGTTGTCATCAATTATGTAACAGAAATGAAGAAATATGTGCCTCATCATAAGTAACATCTCTATCATTACTATCCAATGTATTTCAATAAAATTCATGTAAGTTTCCATGCTTTTTTGTAACATTAAAGAAAACATATCCATCAGTAGTTTCTCTCCTAATACTGACCTTTCTATTCTGTTAATTTAAAAAAATACATACAATTATTCAATTCTATTCTATTAAAATAGGTTTACATTTATAACCACTAGTGTGGTCAGTTAATGTAAAAATTTAAATAGTAAATAAATAGGATGTAATCAAAGACAACTCACTCAGGTGTCGTCTTTCTCTAAACACAAGAATCTAGTCTGTAACTGTTTTTGACACTGTCCTTAAAAACCAACTTAAAAGCAGGCACAGATTGATGAAGGGCTAGAGGACTGCTTGCAACAAAAAAGTCAAGTTTTCTCTTGATTTGAAGAGCAAGATAAGCAGACACCCAGAAAATCACTTAAGAAACCCCTTACTGGTTTATTTCACAGCACTGCAAAGGAAAACAGATATTAATTGTATACTTAGCAAGAAAAAAATTTTTTCTGATAGTGCTTTGAGGATATTAGATATATGCTAAACATGTCTTCTACAAAGATTTATTATGCCTTTTAATGAGCCTGGGGTTCTGGTGTTACAATAGTTTTAAGTAGGCTCTACTGAGAGAAACTAAATATTGGCATATGCTATTAGCAACTTCGCCTGTTCAACAGTATGGGAAAAATAAGATGATTGTGAAAAATTCACACCCACACCCTAGAACATATATTATTCTATTGGGGAATGGGAAAGGAGACCATTTTCTTAGAAAGCAAATGAACTTGATTTTTCTAATCTAAAATTTACATTAATTTGTGCAAAATAACACATAAAATGAAAATTCAAAAATTCACACCTCATCTTTTCTGGAAAAACAGGTGGATTTTACAACTAGAGACATGGCATATGGTTACTGGCTTATGAGCTGCCCAAACTAAACTATTTCTCTGCTATTAACTGGCTAGAAGACACTCATGCATTTTTCAAGTGTTCTTTCAAAATATTTTTATAAGCAATGTTTGTATCTATTTCATTCTTTTTAATTTTTTCCTGGATTTTAGGTTTTGGGGTACATGAGCAGAGCATGCAAGACAGTTGCGTAGGTACACACATGGCAGTGTGCTTTGCTTTCCTTTTCCCCTTCACCCATGTTTGGCATTTCTCCCCAGGCTATCCCTCCCCTCCTCCCCCTCCCACTGGCCCTCCCCTTTTCCCCCCTATAGACCCCAGTGTTTAGTACTCCCCTTTCTGTGTCCACGTGTTCTCAATTTTCATCACCGCCTATGAGTGAGAATATGCGGTGTTTCAATTTCTGTTCTTGTGTCAGTTTGCTGAGGATGATGTTCTCCAGATTCATCCATGTCCCTACAAACGACACAAACTCATCATTTCTGATTGCTGCATAATATTCCATGGTGTATATGTGCCACAATTTTCCAATCCAGTCTATTATCAGTGGGCATTTGGGTTGATTCCAGGTCTTTGCTATTGTAAACAGTGCTGCAATGAACATTCGTATACATGTGACCTTATAGTAGAACGATTTATAGTCTTTTGGATATATACCCAGTAATGGGATTGCTGGGTCAAATGGAATTTCTATTTCTAAGGCCTTGAGGAATCGACACACTGTCTTCCACAACGGTTGAACTAATTTACACTCCCACCAACAGTGTAAAAGTGTTCCTTTTTTTCCACATCCTCTCCAGCATCTGTTGTCTCCAGATCTTTTAATGATCGCCATTCTAACTGGCGTGAGATGGTATCTCAATGTGGTTTTGATTTGCATCTCTCTGATGACCAGTGACGATGAGTATTTTTTCATATGATTGTTGGCCTCATATATGTCTTCTTTCATAAAGTGTCTGTTCATATCCTTTGCCCACTTTTGAATGGGCTTGTTTGTTTTTTTCCTGTAAATCTGTTTGAGTTCTTTGTAAATTCTGGATATCAGCCCTTTGTCAGATGGGCAAACTGCAAAAATGTTTTCCCATTCTGTTGGTTGCTGATCCACTCTAGTGACGGTTTCTTTTGCCGTGAAGAAGCTGAGGAGTTTAATTAGGTCCCATTTGTCTATTTTGGCTTTTGTTGCCAATGCTTTTGGTGTTTTGGTCATGAAGTCCTTGCCTACACCTATGTCCTGGATAGTTTTGCCTAGATTTCCTTCTAGGGTTTTTATGGTGCCAGGTCTTATGTTTAAGTCGTTAATCCATCTGGAGTTAATTTTAGTGTAAGGTGTCAGGAAGGGGTCCAGCTTCTGTTTTCTGCACATGGCTAGCCAGTTTTCCCAACACCATTTGTTAAACAGGGAATCCTTTCCCCATTGCTGGTTTTTGTCAGGTTTATCAAAGATTGTATGTTTGTAGATATGCTGTGTTGCCTCCGGTGCCTCTGTTTTGTTCCATTGGTCTATATCTCTGTTTTGGTACCAGTACCATGCTGTTTTGATTACTGTAGCCTTGTAGTATAGTTTGAAATCCGGTAGTGTGATGCCCCCCACTGTGTTCTTTTTGCTTAGAATTGACTTGGCTATGCGGGCTCTCTTTTGGTTCCATATGAAGTTCATGGTGGTTTTTTCCAGTTCTGTGAAGAAAGTCAATGGTAGCTTGATGTGGATAGCATTGATTCTGTAAATTACCTTGGGCAGTATAGCCATTTTCATGATATTAATTCTTCCTAACCATGAACATGGAATGTTTCTCCATCTGTTTGTGTCCTCTCTGATTTCGTTGAGCAGTGGTTTGTAGTTCTCCTTGAAGAGGTCCCTTACGTTCCTTGTGAGTTGTATTCCAAGGTATTTTATTCTTTTTGTAGCAATTGTGAATGGCAGTTTGTTCTTGATTTGGTTTTCTTTAAGTCTGTTATTGGTTTAGACGAATGCTTGTGATTTTTGCACATTGATTTTATATCCTGAGACTTTGCTGAAGTTGCTTATCAGTTCCAGGAGTTTTTGGGCTGAGGCGATGGGGTCTTCTAGGTATACTATCATGTCGTCTGCAAATAGAGACTGTTTGGCTTCCACCTTTCCAATTTGAATACCCTTTATTTCTTTTTCTTGCCTGATTGCTCTGGCTAGGACTTCCAGTACTAAATTGAATAGGAGTGGTGAAAGAGGGCATCCTTGTCTAGTGCCAGATTTCAAAGGGAATGCTTCCAGTTTTTGCCCATTCAGTATGATATTGGCTGTTGGTTTGTCATAAATAGCTTTTATTACTTTGAGATACGTTCCATCGATACCGAGTTTATTGAGGGTTTTTAGCATAAAGGGCTGTTGAATTTTGTCAAATGCCTTCTCTGCGTCAATTGAGATAATCATGTGGTTTTTGTTTTTGGTTCTGTTTATGTGGTGAATTACGTTTATAGACTTACGTATGTTGAACCAGCCTTGCATCACCGGGATGAATCCTACTTGATCATGATGAATAAGTTTTTTGATTTGCTGTTGCAATCGACTTGCCAATATTTTATTGAAGATTTTTGCATCTATGTTCATCATGGATATTGGCCTGAAGTTTTCTTTTCTTGTTGGGTCTCTGCCGGGTTTTGGTATCAGAATGATGTTGGTCTCGTAAAATGATTTGGGAAGGATTCCCTCTTTTTGGATTGTTTGAAATAGTTTTAGAAGGAATGGTACCAGCTCCTCTTTGTGTGTCTGGTAGAATTCGGCTGTGAACCCGTCTGGACCTGGGCTTTTTTTGAGTGGTAGGCTCTTAATTGCTGCCTCGACTTCTGACCTTGTTATTGGTCTATTCATAGTTTCAGCTTCCTCCTGGTTTAGGCTTGGGAGGACACAGGAGTCCAGGAATTTATCCATTTCTTCCAGGTTTACTAGTGTATGTGTATAGAGTTGTTTGTAATATTCTCTGATGATGGTTTGAATTTCTGTGGAATCTGTGGTGATTTCCCCTTTATCATTTTTTATTGCATCTATTTGGTTGTTCTCTCTTTTCTTTTTAATCAATCTGGCTAGTGGTCTATTTTGTTGATCTTTTCAAAAAACCAGCTCTTGGATTTATTGATTTTTTGAAGGGTTTTTCGTGTCTCAATCTCCTTCAGTTCAGCTCTGATCTTAGTTATTTCTTGTCTTCTGCTGGGTTTTGAGTTTTTTTATCTTGCTCCTCTAGCTCTTTCAATTTTGACGATAGGGTGTCAATTTTGGATCTCTCCATTCTCCTCATATGGGCACTTATTGCTATATACTTTCCTCTAGAGACTGCTTTAAATGTGTCCCAGAGGTTCTGGCATGTTGTGTCTTCGTTCTCATTGGTTTCGAAGAACTTCTTTATTACTGTCTTCATTTCATTGTTTACCCAGTCAACATTCAAGAGCCAGTTGTTCAGTTTCCATGAAGCTGTGCGGTTCTGGGTTGGTTTCTGTATTCTGAGTTCTAACTTGATTGCACTATGGTCTGAGAGGCTGTTTGTTATGATTTCAGTTGTTTTGCATTTGCTGAGGAGTGCTTTACTTCCAATTATGTGGTCAATTTTAGAGTAGGTGAGATGTGGTGCTGAGAAGAATGTGTATTCTGTGGATTTGGGGTGGAGGGTTCTGTAAATGTCTATCAGGTTTGCTTGCTCCAGGTCTGAGTTCAAGCCCTGGATATCCTTGTTGATTTTCTGTCTGGTTGATCTGTCTAATATTGACAGTGGAGTGTTAAAGTCTCCCACTATTATTGTGTGGGAGTCTAAGTCTCTTTGTAAGTCATTAAGAACTTGCCTTATGTATCTGGGTGCTCCTGCATTGGGTCCATTTATGTTCAGGATCGTTAGCTCTTCTTGTTTTATCGATCCTTTTACCATTATGTAATGGCCTTCTTTGTCTCTTTTGATCTTTGTTGCTTTAAAGTCTATTTTATCAGAGATGAGAATTGCAACTCCTGCTTTTTTTTGCTCTCCATTTGCTTGGTAAATCTTCCTCCATCCCTTTATTTTGAGCCTTTGTGTATCCTTGCATGTGAGATGGGTTTCCTGGATACAGCACACTGAAGGGTTTTGGATTTTTATCCAATTTGCCAGTCTGTGTCTTTTGATTGGTGCATTTAGTCCATTTACATTTAGGGTTAATATTGTTATGTGTGAATTTGATACTGCCATTTTGATGCTAAGTGGCTGTTTTGCCTGTTAGTTGTTGTAGATTCTTCATTATGTTAATGTTCTTTAGCATTTAGTGTGATTTTGGAATGGCTGGTACTGGTTGTTCCTTTCTATGTGTAGTGCCTCTTTTAGGAGCTCTTGTAA